CTTAAAAATAATCTTTTATAATAGAAGAGTGAAAGTTAATTTGTGTTTGAAAATGTGTAAATTTAAGTGCTATGTGTTTAGCATAACAATATTAAGTAAACTTTAATATTAAAGTCGCAGTTTTTGTTTTATCTTTTTTTATATATGAGAAAACAAACTTTTAAAATTTGTTGAACTGATGGAACAGTTTATAACTTTTAAGATTAAATAATATAATATGTTTTAAAACACTTTAATTAACATGCAAAGAACGACATTTTTTAAAACAATGAGACTCAGTAACTCCAGACAAACCGGGTTAAAAAAAATATAAAAAGAATGTACTTTATCAGAAGAAGAATAAGAGATTACAAAAAAGGTTGTTTTCTTATAGCCAGATTGGTTGGGATATGGTAGCTTAGTTTCACTGAAACTAAACCTATTAATTTATTTTTTGCAGACATCACATTAAATTTTTAAAGATCGTTTAGAACTATATTATAAATGTTCTATTTATAGTAATATGAAAGGTACATTGATAGATTATCAAGAGTTGTGTTTTGTTTTTAAATGAATATTTTCAAGAGTTGCGAGGAAAAAAAAGTTCAACCAAATACATTTCAGAACCATTAGATAGAACCATAACAATTACAACCACCAGACTGAAACTCTTCAAAAAAATTTAAAAAAATCAAGAATTGGGGAAAAGTACGACTCTTCAGATTAAAGAGCTGTGTTGTTTGAAAGAAATAACTGCTCATAGCAATTTTAATTTAAGTATAAAAAAATTATTAAGACCAATAGAAGAAAAAAAAATTATAACGAAAGATTGTATTCCTTCAAATATGAAAACTTATGACTCTTTCATGTAAAAAGATGTGTTGTTTGAAAAAATATATGTTAATGCCATAAATATCTTATGTCTAAAAAACATTTCTTAGGACAATTGCATGAAAAACAAAACAATGTTTGAAAAATTGTATCTTTTCATAATAAACTGAAATATATTAGTTTAAAAGTTGCATCTTTCCTTATAAAAATAATTGTGTATTTTCAAAAGAAAACAAAATTGTTGAAAGGTTGTATCTTTTCATAAGAACCAAAATATTAGTTTAAAATTTGTATCTTTTTATTATAAATAGAATTGTGTAGTTTCATAAAAATTTATCTATTTTTTAAAAGTTGCATAAAATTTTTATCTGGACCATTAGATGAAAAAACAAAACAATTGTTGAAAGATTGTATCTTTTCATAAGAACTGAAATATATTAGTTTAAAAGTTGCACCTTTTTATTATTAAATAGAATTGTGACTTTTAATAAAAAAAAGTTTCTATTATTTTAAAAATTGCATCTTTTCATTATAAAAAAAGTTTGTGCCTCAGAAAAAACAGTTTAAAAGTATTTAAAAGAGGCTGTAAGAGTTTTGTCTTCTCATAATAACAATTGTTGAAAGGTTGTATCTCTTCATAAAAAAAATGGAATATATTAGTTTAAAAGTTGCATCTTTTCATTATAAAAACAATTGTTTCTCAGAAAAAATAATTTAAAAATATTTAAAATAGTTATAAGAGTTGTGTCTTCTCGTAATAAAAATCTACTAATTATAACAATCTTGATTAATTTCAAAGGTTGGAATGCCAAATAAAAAGAAAAATTGAGACTCTTAATAAAAATGTCTATTAGTGTGAAAGGTTGAAAATACAAAATAAAATGAAAAGTTGTGTCTCTTTAAAGAAATAAATGAAAGATTGTGTCTCTTAATAAATAAAATGAAGGTTGTCTCTTAATAAAAATCACAACTAATTCTAAAGGTTGTGAATGTCAAATAAAATAAAAATTGTGTATCTTAATAAAAAATCCCAATTAATTCTAAAAATTGTGAATGTCAATCAAGATGAAAGGTTGTGACTCTTAATAAAAAATATTAATTAATGTGAAATTTGGTAAACGTAAAATAAAATGAAAGTTATTTTTCTTAATAAGTAAAATGAAAAGTTTTGTCTCTTAAAAAATAAAATGAAAAGTTGTGTCTCTTAATAAATAATATGAAAGGTTTTGTCATGTGTGTCTTAGTAAAATTACCAATTACTTCTAAAGTTGTGTATCTTAATAAAAATCTCAATTAATTCGAGAGGTTGTGAATGCCAAATAACATGAAAAGTTGTAATTTTTAATAAAAATGTCAATTAATGTGAGATGTTGTAAATGCAAAATAAAATTGAAAGTTGTGTCTCTTTAAAATAAAATAAAATGAAAGTTGTGTTTCTTAATAAATAAAATGAAAGGCTGTGTATCTTAACAAAAATCTCAATTAATTCTAAAGGTTTTGATGCCATATAAAATGAAAAGTTGCGTATCTTAATAAAAATCTCAATTAATGTGAAAGGTTGTGAATGCCAAATAAAATGAAAGGTGGAATATTTTTGAAAAATATATTTTATGATTAGTTAAATATCCTAAAAGGTGTCTTTTTAAGGAAACAAATAAATAATTAACCTTTTCTGATTATTTTTATATTTAATTTTAAAAATGGTTTGCATTTAAATTTGGCATACAAACTTTATAAAGTAGTTCCATAATTTGTGTAACATGATACACCTTGGATTGTATATTCATTTCTATAGGTGTGTAGTATTTACCATCAGAAGTCATGTCTTTCCATTTTTCAGTTTTTTTTTTTTTGATGTTATTGTCTATGTGCTTTCATTACCATACATATAAATGTATACATTTTATACTTATTACAAGGTACAATAGAACCTGAAGGCTGTTTCATATACACTTCTTTTTGAGCCATCGATCCATATCATGGATCATAGTCTATAGCACCCGACCATGAACAATATGTTTACCACTCATGATGACTCGGCCTTAACCCTAATGACTTGCATCCATAAGTATCAATGATATTATGTTCGTTCACTTTTCTTAACATTCTGTTCACACCCTTTCGGTGATGTTATATTCACACCTTCTTGGTGACGTTACATTCTCACCCTTTTGGTGATGTTACATTCGCACCCTTTCGGTGACGTTCCATTTGCACCCTTTCGGTGACGTTACATTCGCACCTTTTTGATGATGGTACATTCGCACCTTTTCGATCCCGAAACATTCGCACCCTTTCGGTGCCGAACCATTCGCACCCTTTCGGTGCCGAACCATTCGCACCCTTTCGGTGCCGAACCATTCGCACCATTTCGGTGCCGAACCATTCGCACCCTTTCGGTGCCGAACCCTCTGCACCCTTTCGGTGCCGAACCGTTTGCACCCTTTCGGTTTCGAACCATTTGCACCCTTTCGGTCCCGAACCGTTCGCACCCTTTCGGTCCCGAACCGTTCACACCCTTTCGGTCCTGAACCAGTTCGCACCTTTTTGGTCCCAAACCATTCGCATTCTTTCGGTCCCGAACTGTTCGCACCCTTTCGGTCCCGACACGTTCGCACCCTTTCGGTCCCGACACGTTTGCACCCTTTCGGTACCGACACGTTCGCACCCTTTTGGTCCCGATACGTTTGCACCCTTTCGGTCCCGATACGTTCGCACCCTTTCGGTCTCGACACGTTCGCACCCTTTCGGTACCAACACGTTCGCACCCTTTTGGTCCCGATACGTTCGTACCCTTTCGGTCCCGACACGTTCGCACCCTTTCGGTACCGACACGTTCGCACCCTTTTGGTCCCGATACGTTCACACCCTTTCGATCCCGACACGTTCGCACCCTTTCGGTCCTGACACATTCGCATCCTTTCGGTCCCGATACGTTTGCACCCTTTCGGTCCCGACACGTTCGCACCATTTCAGTTCCGATACGTTTGAACCTCTTGGGTCACGACACGTTCGCACCTCTTGGACCACGACACATTTGTACCTCTTGGGTCACGAAACGTTCGTACCTCTTGGATCACGATACGTTCGTACCTCTTGAGTCTCGACACATACAAATATTATCTTCTAAGAAGTCAATATTAATATTTAAACTTATGAAAATGTATGACAAATATGATTGTGGCTATTAAAATGAAATATATGCCTTTTCAATTAAAAGTTGTCAAATATTTGATGACATCATCAATCATATGAAAAGGTTTTTTTTCCATTAGATCTTAAAATCAAGTTAACTATTACCATTGGATTGAACTTTTTTTTTTCCTATAAAAAAATGCTGATGTCACTTTAAGTTTGCTATTATATATAGATTGAATTCACAATTTTCAGAGATGTCTTTTCAAAAAAATTTCCCCACTTCGTCCTAAGTCTGTTTTGATGTAATTGCATCATCTACATTATTACACACATATATAAGCAGTTTTGAACAATGATCATAATCTTATTATTATTATCTAATAATTGGTTGTTGATTAAAATAGTTATTACCAAAGTAAAAAAATTTTAGGTTGTTGTTTTTATTTATTATTTATTATTTGAGTTGTGATGTCACATGATAATGCACTAATGCATGATATATAACTGATATCTTTTTCTTTTTTTTTGTAACACAACTGATATCTTTTTCATAAAACAAAATTATAATATAATAAAAAATAACCAATATGGTCTTTTTTGGGCAGTGGAATGCATCCACAATTTGTATTTCTCGAATATTATTTTTGAGACTTCCTCGGAGAATCTCCATGACGCATTCAAAAATCCGAATGATCATCCAAGTCTCAGCCATATCCGTCACAATACCTCCTTTCTACTCACCCGGATTGCTTTATGGAGTTTAGATCACGCACTCCCAGAACGCAAAGAAGCTGCTAACGCTATTGCAATAAGTGTCACTCGCGATCACCGCCACCAGTCTTACATCGCCCGCAATGCTCTTGTATGGTTACATCACCTACTCGCTTTGGAGGCTTAGCAATTAGAGGTTGGGTGAGATTCTATTTCACTTTTGTTTTGATGTCTAATGATATATCCTCATTTCTCTCATAACTCTCTCTCATTTTGTACTGTCTCGACTATTCTTCATAATCAGTGTTATAAAAATAAATAAAAAAGAACCAATAAAAAAAGCGGAAGGAAAAAGATTGTATATATGTTTTCTAGATTGTATATATGTTTTCTCAGGAACAGATATCAGTGGGGAAAAAAAATCATTTTTACATATATATTGATACTGACTTACTGCATTAACATCAGCCGTCCCTTCCCGTTAGATGCAAATACTGTCCTCTGCCAAATACCACTGCAATGACAAATAGTCCATCTTAATACTTACGCTTTGGTTTCTATTATGCATGCCAGAATGCAAAGATAAATATATTACCTATAAGAAATAGTAAAAGAGAATCCAAATTGCGGATTGAACAGCTTTGGTACTTATTTGACACTGAGACAATTTTAGTTGCCGCTGTATAGCTCCATACCAACCGTGAAGCTGCTTTTTATAACAACCCTCCTGCACTCCATACAGCTGTTGAGTCTTGTCCCACTTAAAACATCCATTCTGCTGAAAAGGTAGGAAAGCCTTTTAGTAAGAGATTAGTAAGCAAAAGGGAACAAATCTTACTTTGGAATTTCTTACTTGGTTTAGTTTGGATAGTTAATAACGCAGAATTAGAGTCAACTTACTGAGGGATTTTTTGGAGTCAGACTCAATATAGTTCAGGAAGTCAGAGAAGCTAGGAACTTTTCGTGGGGGTCAAACGAATGGCTCGCCAGATACTTTCTGGAGTACCCCCATTATCAGAAACCACAATGTACACCGATCTCATCAGTAGCATTTGTTTTCCTTCTATGTCCTTGAAGCTGATTTAATTTTACACCATTTGTGGAAAGTTGTTTCCTTTCAGAGCCACTGGTCCAATCAAGAAAAGGGCAAGCTCATTATGTTCATCTTGATCATCTTTGTCCAAGCGAACCCATCTTGGAGTTCCTTTGCCATGTTTTTGGTGAGACTTCTCTATCTTCGCAACATAAGATTCATAGAGAAACTAAACTCACGTTATGCATGTCTCGACTTTTGTCTTTCAAACCAATGTCGTAGATAAACAGAACAATTTGTGTTGGAACTCATCTAACTTCAGAGAAACGATACATCATCATCTGGAGCATTTCCTGAGAAGACATTAATTAATTCTTAAGGAAGAGCCGAGACTCTGTCTGCCTTCCAGAACAAAAGGACACGACTTGGGTTCATCAGACACGCAATGGAGGACATGTTGGTGGTGTTAAGATGGTTGGCTGGAGCGTCTAAAACATTTTTGGTGTAGAACTGCAGTGAAGTGAAGTTCCAAACACTGAGATCTAATGAAACAGGAGAAGAATATCAACATGATTATTGTAGTTTTATAAAAAAACTACAAACACCAAACTGCAAAAATTCTCTATAACTTAGCTTCTTCAATCTTATTTTTTAGATCTTAAGGAAAAAATTACAGATGACTCAAGCCTTCATGGTTATCTTTCTAGAAAGAGTTTTTTTTTATAAAGATAAAAACCAACTTTATGACCAAGTTGTTAGGGAAAACTAATACGTAGGATTTAAAACAAAACATAAAACAGATTTCATGTGAGAAGAAACTCTGAGTACTAAAATATTAAAACCGGAAAAACAGAGAAAAGATAGAGGTGAGGATGATGACTGAAACATCAACTCATGCTTAACTTAGGAAGCTAAGGTATGCGTGGCTTTTCCCCTTCACGCACATCATCCGGGCTTGGTTCATTGGTAGTGGTGAAGTCAACAAAAACAGCTTCATCAGATTGGATAGGTGGATCAGCATCACCTCCTTCAAAAAACCCAAGACAATCACTCGCAGCAGCGTTCTTAGAGGCTTCACCGGTAATCCCACCAGATGGCTTACTTGACACTGCTCCAGCTCGTGGCATGACTTCACCAGGTTGATTGTTACTTCCCTGGAGAAAATTAGGAAAGTAGTTAACAGGAAAGAAGTGTCTGTTCAGTACAATTGAATTAATGTCTGTAAGTGTGCTTACTTGTTCCGCAAAGCGTGGTAGTGGTGGACGCTGATGCTTTTCAAATATGCGGGAGATGGTGAATGACATATGCTTTGAAGTGAAATTGAGCTCAGTGAGCTTCAGTTGAAATGTGAATGCTCTGTTCTCTAACTCAGTCAGACACTGTGGAAGTTAGCGTGTAAGGCAGTACACTGTAAACATTAACGAAAGGGTAATTCGAGATAGTAACCTCAAGAACACTATTAACCTGGGTTTACGAATAGAATCTCATTGAGAAAGAAGCATAATCAACAAACAGTTTGTAAATTAATGTGAACATGAGTTAAGAACACTTTGAACATGAGTTTAATTTAAGAACAATATGAACATAATTTTCAAAAAAAAAGAATCATCTTAATTAAGATGAAAGTTTTAGAACACGTAACAAAGATCTAAATTCAAAACCTTGATAGATATTACACGCCAGAATAGTACAACCTAAATAAAAACATGAATTGAAGAACATGATGAACTTGAGTTCTTTTAAAAATACCTTTGAATCCAGTAAGAGCATATCCACGCCCATCATCTCCCCACTGCTTTCTAATGTTTCTGGTCTACCAGAACTGGAGCAACTGCAGTTGAGACTTCAGATGGGCAAAGAAAACCGATGAATTAGTCATTTCAGAGAAAACAGATTCTTAAAGGGGAAACGGAGAAGATGAGGTTTGATTGACAGCGGTGATGAAGATCGGGAAAAGGGGAAAGGGAGAAGATGAAGTGAGTGAAAGCTTCATCTTCTCCCTTTCCCCTTTTCCCGATCTTCATCACCGCTGTCAATCAAACCTCATCTTCTCCGTTTCCCCTTTAAGAATCTGTTTTCTCTGAAATGACTAATTCAATGCAATTGTTTGTACATGAGAAAATTTAAAATTATAGTCCACACATAATAGCTCTTTTTCAAGCACCGAATGGAAGAAAGCATCATAAATAATATAGTATATACCATTCATGCTCGGTTCTGAGAGGAAGCTAAGGAATCATGGATTTCTGGCCCTCCATAATATTTTTTAAATTTGGCCAACTTTATAAAAATCTCTTTAGTTTAATGGTGTAAAACATCTTTTTTTTTACAATAGTGTCCCAACTTCAAGCTTTGAGTATGCTAAGCCTAGCTTTTTTTTTCTTAGCTTGTAGCCTTGTAAAAGTCAAGACCGTTACTAACACCATTGAACACGACAGCGGAGTCAAAGAGCAAATTTGTTTAGATTTCAGTTTGAGATAGTAGCATAATTTCATGTTATAGGAGATACCTCTGGTATTGCATGTATAGACGGGAAATGCCTTATGAATATAGCTAAAACGGAACAACAAACTGCTCGTTTCATAGAGGACGTTTGTATCCAGCTAACTAAATTGTCTTTTGATATAAAAGACAGTTTGTGTAATATAAATTCTAAGATGCAGAACAACAATACAAGCTGTGGTGGCTTATGTTTTTCAATTCTAACTGAAAAATTGTCTATGCTGCTAACTTGGAGTAGATGTGAAGAAAAACTACAAATATTTCAACTGTTAATATAAAGTGAATAAACTCAGAGTTATACTGTTTCAGCAAACGGTAATGCCACAAAGAGTACTCTCTTTCATGTTATAGGAGATACCTCTAGTATTGCATGTATTGACGGGAAATGCTTTCATGAATATAGCTAAAGTGGAACAACAAACTCCTCGTTTCATAAAAATAGTATAGAAATACATGAGAAAGAAAAAAAAATTATATCTTTAATGGTTACACTAACGAATGTTTACTATGTTATACAGTAGCAGCCCTGGACAGAAGAAGCAGAAGTATGTGTTTCCGACGATAAATAGAAAATTTAATATTCGGTCATTTTTTCAAATGTTATCTGTAGCTCATATGGTTAAACTAATTGACTTGTTATTTAGAGGTAACATGTTCAATACTAGTTACCAGCCTTTATTTTATATATTGTGTTTCTGGCCCAACATATTAAAAGATTTTTTTAGGGTCGGGCCTGATGTTATAACTTTCTGTCATTGAATATAATATAGTTAAGGAACATTTGTTAATATTTTCTTCCCTTTTCAATCTTTATAAAAGTAAGTTTTTTAATCTTTGTCTCTTACATCTTTAAGTTGAGTTTAATCTCTTCTTAGGCATCCACATCATCAATAGAGGGGTGGGTGAATTATTAAACGTGGCATCAAAAAAAAAAATTCTGAGATTGCTGGTTCTTTGCGTTTTGGTGGGCTTTAGAGATTAGAGGCCTAAGCAGATTAGGGTAATCTCCGATTGTTTGCAACTGTGGTGGCTGTGGCTTTACAAAAAAAAAATTACTTTAGAAACTTTAGATTTAAAAAAACTGTCAATAACTTTAGAAAAAATCTAAAGCCATAAATTGTTAGCTTTTAAAAACCACCCACGTTACAAAGGAGAAATCTATATAATAATAGTACACTTTTGAAGCTCCTCAGCGTGTCCACGTCAGCAAGTTTGCGGGCCCCGCGCGTGTTATTAGGGAAAACAAAAACGTATAACATTTTGTAAGATTGAATGTTATCGATGAGTGATGAAATGGCCCAGTAGTGTAAGTTGGTGACGAGAAGTTGGTACCGTGAGTGCGTGGGTTCGAAATGCAATGCTTGCATGTAATTTTTTTTTTAATTTGGGCTTTTCGGGATATCTAATAGCTTAGGGAGAGTCAGAATGATTTTTTATGCTGTTTGTTGGGATACAAAATGGCTTAAGGATTTGAAACTTTATGAGACCATCTTAGATACTTTTATAAGAAAGGTTATCATGTTCTAACCTCCAATATCATTTCAATTCAGTTATAATCATCAAATAAAATAAAAACATATTTTTCAATAATAAATATTTACCCCGAACCATTCAGATCGGCCATAAATCTCATATACATCACAATTAAAAAATATATATATATATAAACAACATAATTTTAGAAAGAAAATTACACTAATAAACACATGTCCTTTTTTGTCTTGTCTCCATTAAATTATTTTTTTACATCAAAGCACTAATAACAGTAATGCTCGATAAAATCACTAATAAAGGAAATGCTCGATAAAATCACTACGAAGATAAAATATGAAAATATCAACCCATATGAATTTGATGTTTATTCTTTTATCAGACTAATCAAGTTGTGTAACTTCTAATGTTTCATTCATCACCATTATAGAAAAGCCAGATAAACAAATGTTAAAAAAAAATAGCAAAACCTCATACACAAAACTACTCAACACATCAACAACGTATCCAACTCCCGTTCTTGCGCGGGGACTATGCATCTAGTACTAAGAATGGCTTTAGAGAATTTAAGATTAACAAAAGTCATTAAAGCCTGATTGGCTAAATTTTGGCTGTAAGGACTTTAAACTTACTGAAAGCCTCAACAGCTTAAACTCCAATCGGACTTGTCGTCCCCTACTCTTCGGTATCTTAGGAGTTGCAGCTGTAAGTTCTGGAACTTGCACACCGTCGAGCTCAGCGTAACGTCTTTAGCTCTGACGAGATCTACAAGGAACGTCTTTTCAGCTTACCGATTAGGTCAATGGCGAATTCTTACACCCTCCTTGACGATCAAAAACTGGGCAGTACTCCAACACTGCAGAGGTTCAATTGCTGAGGTTTTGGGAGGCCATGAATGTGAAAAAAGACGGTGAACTTATGAGCTTGACATGTTACTCATTGATGAGCCTCGACTTGAACCGTAATTGCTCTATATGGACAGAGAATCTAAACAGTCTCTTGGATTTAAAAAACAGAGATTCTAAAAAAATATTTTTCCATTTGATTAAAGGTCTCACTTTGTCTTGACAGGTATCAATTTGAAGGTATTCGTGTTGTTACATCTGATGGGTATGGTATTCTCTTGGAAAGGATACCAAGGTATATAGTTCATTGTGGTTTAGTAAGTTCTTTAAGATGTAATCGCCAATTCTTCCTTGTGGCTTTCCAGACGAGATGCTAGAAAATCTGTTTTCTTGCAGCATGGTGTTTTAGGTTCTTCAATGGGGTGAGTTTGACAGACTATCTCTTTGATGCCTTATTTTGTTACCTTTCTGTCGCATCTGTTCCTTTTATCTTCAGATGGGTATGAAGTTGTTGGATCTCCTGCTTTTACTGCTTATAATCAAGGTCAGCGGCTCAGCGCCAAAACAAAGTCTCTTTGTAATAACTATATAGTAAAGATTTACCATATGCATTATTCTGTTTCTTCTTGCCAGGCTACGATTTTTACGTAGGGAACTTCCGCGGTTTTGTTTCAAGAGACCATGTGAACAAAAACATTTCCTCTAAAAAGTGAGTTTTACATAGAAACAAAAATACTGCTTTTTTATTTCTTGTGGAGTTCTTTATTGATGGATTCTGAACAAGATGCAGTTTCTGGAGCTACTCCATCAAAGACCATGCAAGAGAGGACATCCCCGCAATGATAGAGAAGATTCATGATATCAAAACTTCAGAACTGAGAGTCTACCATCCTAATGTGGAAGAGGTAGTACACGAGGAGCAACCTTATAAGCTCTGCATTTCTCTTACAGCCTTGGCGGGCCTGCTGTTCTGATGTATGTAATCACCCGTAGAATCGAAGAGAAACCACACAGACTCTCTAAACTGATCCTGCTTTCTCCTGCCGGGTTTCACGAAGACTCCAACCTGAGTTTTACGTTAATAGAGCACACATCCTTCTCTTGTGCCCGGTACTATCCAGGATTTTTCCTGCTTTCTACATCCCCACTAGATTGGTTCTAACATTATGAGTTAATAGTTGGTGGAGATATCTCGAACTGGCTTGGAGTCATGGGTTTGCCACACTATAACATGAGCGATATCTTTCTTACAATGAGAGAAACAGGTGTTGTTGATGCTTCTTACAGTGAGTTTGAGTATGGTCATTTGTATTTTACCTTCTCTCACCGTGAAGAACTTTTGGCTTATGTAATGTGGCAGTTGCTGCTCGTGGACTCAGCCAGTTCATAAGAAGGGGATGAAGCTGAAGAAGAAAATTGATACATCTAGAACCTCATCTACGAACTATGGAATGCTAGGCTTTTATAAAGTTACATGTTGCCTGTCTGTAGTTTCTTTTGTTCTTGAGACTAGCTTAGAACACAGTTGATACAGGTAGTCTGTATTCTATTTAAGTCGAGTACTGAAGTCATTTACCCAAACTAGAATACAAAAAGGGAGACACATTTTACAAACTTTGTATGATGTTTGTTGTTACAAATGTATGGACAAGGTTTCTACAAAAAAAAAAAAATACAATACACCTATATTTTTATACATAAATGCTGATTGAGATAAATAAAAAGATTCAGCAAAACACACATAAAATGTTTTGCAACACAGTATATAGTGAAAAAGGAGTGATTGTTTCGAGCATCAAACTCAAATCCTACTGTCTGACTCTTAACATTGGGGCCAAAGTTAGACACAGTCATACGTCATATACATGTAAATTGCTACATGACATATTGGGCACTTTTTACCTTTGTCTAACAGACTCTGCAACATAAAATGGCACACAGTATATA